CCCTTAGTGTTTTCGTAGGGTCGTTATCGTACTTCACATGTTTTGTAGAATGAACATTTTGCTGGATAGAAGGAGTAAAATATCTGAGTGGCACTGCATAACAATAGAGTAAAGGACTTCAGTCCGGACTTCACCATGTCATTTTTTAATGTGTATTTACTACCTGGGCATTTTGGGATGGAATTACAATTATCTGCCCTTCCATCAGTCTATGGGTGCCCCAAAGGTAGCTTGCCATGCATCCTGTGAGAAAATTAAAAGGGATTTTAAAAAAGTGTAGTGCTTTGCCTGTAAAATGGCAATTCTGGAAATGATGAGCTACAATTAGATTTACAGCGCTGTGTGAATATGCCTGTGAAGAGTGCTCTATAAATAAAGCACTCATTCATGCTACAATGATTAAAACTGAGGTTGTGTCTCCTCTGAAGGAGCTGCTTTGATGAAGCTGCATCATTTCCAAAATCGAATGGAAAACCAACATCTCTGGATCACTGCTTTCACAATAATGCCTTCTAGTAAAATAATGTTTGCTTCTAATTGTCTGTTACTGTTCAATAGTTCTGCTGCAATTGCAGTATATATGCACGTGTTTTTGGAAGACCTCTGGTTGACATTGAAATACAAACACATATTGCTTCAGGCATGTCACCCTTTCCTTGCACCTCACTATCTTTAATTAAAGGTACTGTTGATGTAATCAAAAAGAAAGTAATGTGTAATAACTGATCAATTCAAAACAAGCCCGCGTGGAGCCTTGTGGGAATGTTTGATTGCCGGCTCGGCCTTCAAATAGAAATGGCAGTCTTTCTCCAAATAAGTGAGCCACTAGACTGATGGGGTGCAAAATTTGGCTGCTATGGTAACACCTGTCAGAGGGTGGCTGTGGAGATTTTGATACACATGTGAAGTCTGGTCATGGGACAATCAGCAGCACGGCTGACCTCTAGAAGATTGGGAGCAGCAGTTGTTCACATTGTGAAGAAAAATAACCGTCACTCACAACGTTAAGGATCTAAGTGTGTGTTTTGACTTTATAGGGCAATTATATTCATTGGAGACATTAAAACATGGACACATAAACAAAAATATTTCATAGTTTTAATTATTTATTAGTGTCACTTTCCATAATACTGCCACAGCTGAGCAGTGTTTAAAAAATACTTTGCATGAATAAATAAAAACACATAGTTCTTTTTTTCACTGGATATCATGAATGATTTTAGGAAATCTCACATGTTTATCTTGTATCTTATATATTTCTCTGTAAAATTACTGCCTGGAAGTATATTTGTTTGAAGGATAGACATTAAATATACGGAAACTGTATTTTTACTTACTTTTTTGATTGAAGGTTGACATTTGTACCTTAAAGTAGATGTCACATATTTTATCTCAGGCTTCTGTTTGTCTCCTTTGTAAGCTCTCGTTTTTTTTCAAAAACCATTTCAGTGGTATTTTTTGAATGCTTATTGTTATTGTTATTATTATACATCCGTATCAGCATTATATTTGTTATACCAAAGATTTTTTTAATGTTTAAGATAAAGTGGAGGATGTTCTTTTTCCAGTTGGACCATCAAAATAAGTGCTCCTCCTAATTGTCAATCATTGTGGTGATATGTTTAGGTAAGGCTATCTTACGTGCTTGTCCCCATTTTCACTCACGGGTCGTGAGTGTGACATATTGGAAAAATTGCAAATCTTCTTTTGGAAAGTAAGCTTGTATGAGTGATGCAGACAGCAACTTTTAAACAGAGCATGAACGAGGAGAAATGGGCTCTTGCATACTTTTGCATGTGTTTAATAGGAATTCCCTATCGGGAGCGATTACAGGGTTGTGCATGTGCTGTTTTTTTAAGTGGAGAGGACGGGTCTTTTAAAAAATTCACGAAAATCCTCCACTCTACCTTTAACCTTATACATAACCTACAGCTTTTGGGATGTGTTGGCCTAGTGGTTGGAGCAGTGTGCTTGTGATCTGAGAAGGTTGAAAGTACCAAGTTCGATCCCCACAGCCTTCACTTTGGGTTCCTGAGGAAAACCTTTAACCTCACACTGCTCCCCGGGCTCCACACAATGGCAAACCACTGCTCCCCAAGGGGATGGGTTAAATGCAGAGAGCGAATTACCCCATTGTGGGACAATAAAGGGATTTACATTTACATTTGACGGTTGGTTATTAATAAATGTACTAGTTTTTTAAATGGATAAACAAATTTATAAATCACATTTTCAATAAAGCACATGAAGAACCTGTTAGGTTTGGAATATACTAATACAGTTACAATTTTTGTTTAAAAAATAAATGGATATCTTCTCTGCATTTGAAAAAGTAATAAATAACATATTGTTACAAAAGAGTAACTAAGTTTGTCAGCGAGGGAATGCATCAGGATGTACTTTTAACTCATAGGGGTATATATTTTTCAATTCCAAAATATAACATTAAAAAGTTAACATTAACTCTTACTGAATCAGTTAAAGTGACTTCATTCAGATGATCCCGTTTTAACTCACCTCCAGCCGCTCCTCCACCATCGTAGCTAAAGCTTCATCGGAGTGTCATTCCTCCTGGACTTTTACTGCGTTTCCTGTCTAATTTCAACCGGTCCGGCAGAAGACCGCCATGTTGAGCCTGGTTCTGCCAGAGGTTTATTTTTCCTCTCCACTGTTGCTTCATGCTTGTTCATCATGGACAGGTTCTCTAAACCTGTGTTATCCAACTGGACTTCCATCTTCCAGGTCCCTGAGTGAAGCTCTAGTATCTGCTCATGCAGTCCACTGGATCTCCCCATTAAGCTCAGCATATCGTCTCTCTAACCAGCAGTCTACAGACTGACCAACT